TTTATCTCAAACTAGTGACATCTCTAATACTGAAGTGCTTAACACTTAATGAAAGTTAAAAATAAAAGCGAAAATAAGAACTAAGTGTACAAAAGAAAACAAAAATGAATCATATAAGAATAAACATTACAACACTATCGCTAAAATCAAGAGAGTTATACTGGAAGATTCATCTCCATCTTCACGAGCAGCTAGTGACGAAGAGGCCGAGTTTTCGTCTCTAGCAACGAAAGTCAAGGTCCTATATTAAAACCTCGGATAGCTCTCTATTCGACAAGCAAGTAATTCATTTATAACAACAGCAGAACCTTGGCCACGTTGCTTGAAAAATTTCCGTATCTCCTCCACCTACCGTTTACCGGGGTCCGGCGATCAATAGAAGTAACATGGCAAAGAAAATTGAAGAGTGTCGCACTCTTTGAAAATTCCTCATTTGGTCTTGCATTGAAAAGTAAACTGTTGCACTCAATTGCCCTTGCAGTTCTAGTAACTGGCAAAAATTTGCTTGGCATACCTGTTGTCCTGAAAGGCAATGGTGAACAGATGGCTGAAGCAAACCGTTTTGGGTTATATGACAATATCATCGGTATGTCTTTTGATACTACAGCATCTAACATAAGATTGATCTAAGGGGCATGTACCACAATTGAAAAGGAATTCGGATGAACATTGTTGTGATTGGCTTGCCGTCATCACACCCATGAACTAATATTGAAAGGAGTGTTTGAAAACTGTAGCATATCATCAAGTGGTCCTGACAGTCAGACTTTTCGGAAGTTCCAGAGTCTGAGGGCTACACTTGATAAGAAGTCATATACGACAATACTGGTTGAAAAAAATCCCGTTCAAGGCTTTCTAGAAGAACAACGAGTTAAAATGGTTAACTACATTCAAAATGTCCTGAAAGAGGAAAATCATCCAAGAGAAGACTACAAAGAGTAATTAAAACACTCACTTTCTCAAAACAACTTCAGTTTCAGTATCCCATGGGCTCTGCATCAAGCAAGGTGGATGGCAAATATGCACTTAAAATTATCCTCTTTACTAAACAGTTAAATATCCTTCAACGAGAAGTGAAAAGAATGAAACAGGTTGCACATTTTGACAGCCTCTTATATGTTCGCTTTCGGCACGAGGCAAATGTAAGTTGATGGGCTCCAAAAAATTGATTTGGATATGCTACAGCTTTTGAGTACTTACTTACCCAGATGAAGACGTCAAAAAAGCACTTTCACAGTTGCTAAGAGACTGGTATCTGTCAGAAACAAATGCAGGATTGGCTTTTTTGGAAGAACGTATTACTCAGGCCGATAAGGAAAATATGACTACAAATTTAAAAACCAAACCTGCAAAGAAAAAGGAAATGAAACGATTAGAGGATAAAAACCTAGTTTTTGAAGGAAAAGACCTGAGCCATTTCGTTACTAATAAAACAAAGATATTCTTTGAATTATTTTAGATCCTCATTGTGACAAAATACTGCAGTGATTCTCTAAGAAGCCATGTGAACGCTCTTGAGGTGGTCAATGATACTGCAGAAGGAAGAACTGCTCTGATAAAAAGGTGTAACAAATCAGTCATGGACAAACAACAAAAACCAATTCTTGTTGAGGGAAGTCGAACATCACAGAAAAGGGCATATGATCAATATAACACATGTTTTGCCTATCGTTACAATCTATTAATCTTACTGTCTAGTTTTACTGTTATTTTAAGTTTGTGATTTCAAGTTTTCCCAATAAAAGTAATTAATATTGAAAAATAGTATTTTTTGCCTACTTTTAGGAAACTGATCAAAGTGTGCCACCTCTTAAAAATTATCCAATCTTCTTGAAATTTGGCATATGTGTCTTTTATACCACTGAGAATCAGGTAGTAAGCAATGTCTGCAAAAAATTTACTTACTTTTTACTTTTTGCCTTACAAAATTAAACACCCTACTGCCCTGATTATTTAGCTTTCCACTGCCCGTTAAAAGCAGCAAATCATCTATGTCTTCCTACCAACAAGGTTGATACATATAACAGGTTTATCATCATCAACAGAAACAAATAACAAATAATAAAATCTGCAGAATGATAAAAATTCATAATGGCAATGGGACAAGATATCTGTCAACAGCATTAGTTCTAGTCAAATCAGAAACACTCACTGAGCTATACTTCTTTCCAGGAAGTGTACAATTAATATTACAAAAGTTATGCATGTAACTTTAATTTAGTTTTACTTTTAGTTTACTTCTAGAGTTAGTTTTAATTTAATATAATTTTGAGTTTAATTAGCATTACTTTATATATTCTGCTCTAAAGTTGCATGTTTAGTTAGAAAACATATTTAATTTCTATAAGGCCAAACTATTGTTTATGCGCTAGGAAAAAAAAAAACAATCATCTGTAATGTATCATTTATGTACTTTCGCCTTTGTCTGACAATAAACTCTGATAGGAGGGCGGAGACAACTCCTGCTAACTTCTGGTAGCCGTCAGGAGTATCCACTGTCAATCACCTCTCACCTGTAATGCAAACATTATCCTTAGTATCGTGTTTTAAAATAGGTCTTTAAAAAGGGATTGCTGAATAAATTATTGATCGTTGGAACGAAATACAGATGTAAGTCTGATAATGGCGTACCAGATTTGAAATCCACAAAGACAGTAAAGCATAAAAGCAGAAAATATTATCCTGAGTATATTTGGATTTACATGTAACATCATTTTGATTTTCATAGGTCTGCATTAAAAATATTGAAAAATCTGCCACGAATATTTATCAAATGAATGCAAGAAACCTGCCAAACTTCATCATCATTTTGAAACTAAACATAGTGAATACGTTAGTACAGATTTTTTTTTTCTTTTTTTTAAATAAAAAAAAAATCAAAAACTTGTTTCAGGTCAAGAGATAATGCAAAACACAACTGACTCCAAGAATGAAAAGGCAGTAAATGCACTATATCAAGTATCTGTTCTGGTCACAAAAGGTAAAAAATCTCATACAGTAGCAAAGCAACTAATTTTGCCTGCCACTAGAGTAATTAATAACAAGAAATATGTTTAGAGATAAAATAACCAAGATTTAAATTTAATTCATTATCAAACGATACTGCAAATACTGATTATCAAATGATACTTCATCTGATTTCAATGTGGTTTACACAGTTATTTTCCATTAGCGTGCCCAAACTATTTACCATCAGATGAGAATGCTTGCACCTTTAATAATGCTAATTTGTTACCATACATTCAATACAAGTTTGAAAACAAAATTTAAGATGATTTGTTGTTTTACAATTCACTACCTGCACGCACTACAGCTGTAGCCTTATGTAACAGCATGAACATTTTTATAACAAAAAATAAACTATACAGTGGTCAAAGTTTATTGGAATTAGCATTTATGAAGCTTGTGCAATGTCAGGAAGAATAAATGAAATAGTTGCTTTAATTAAAACTGTAGCAACTGCAGTTAGAACCATTACTGCATATACAAGGAATCATTAGCATCAAAGAATATGTCTGCAGGTTTGGAAGGAAACAGATGAAGTTATTAAAATTGTCAATTGCATTAAGGCTCGATCACTGGTAATATCATGATGCACTTCCTATTGAACATCACCGCCCCCCCCTTTTTTTTTTGACTGCCTTGTTTAAATCTTCCATTTGTTGATTGTATCTCTTCGAAATCAGCCTTTTCTTACCCATTATCACCTGGTCCAAGAAGGTAGTCTGGTACATTTTTGTTCTGAGCAAGCAGTGATGTGCATATGACGACTCCATAATACAAATTTTTCTCATTTAACTCATGAAGCATTCATCCAAAATATTTACAGGACAATCCTAGTTTCCAAATATGGTCCAAAATAGTTTTGAGCGAGTTAAACTTTTCTGCAATCTCCAGTGTTGTCAGAAAAGGATCTTGCTCTATCATTGTCTTCACAATATTATTCACAATATCGTCATTGATCACAATATCGTCATTATTCACAATATCGTCATTGATCAAAGATGCCTGCCAACCCATCTCCTTGTATGTTTCAACTGACACTGCATCTCCATCAAAATCTTTCACTAAATTTCAACATATTTCTGTAGCATTTCTTTCTTGTTGAAAACCATATACATTCATGTGTAGCCATGTTTATATGATCACATCTCATTTAATAATAATTGTGTGTGCGTGCGTGTGCATGTGTGTCATTTTGCTTTTCATATAATAAAAAGAAGGACTTAACAACAAAAATTATAGAACTCTTTCAAAAGCTACATTGCTTTCATTTTGAATCATAAGTGTAGAACACAAAAAAAAAATTCTTTTTTAAGAATTAGACTTGAAAAGCTAATACTTACTTTACAGTTTAATGCAATATCACTAAAAATGATAATATTAGTGATATTGCATTATAGCTTTTAATTCACTTATCACACTTAGCCTTTGAGAATGGCTGTAACTTCAAATGAGACATATAAACAACTGCTTTCCTCCTGTGATTATTAATGATGCTGATATAAGACTGGGGCACCAATTTCGAATTCAATAACTTCAGACATGTTGCCCTAATTAGCACAAGCTGACTGCTAGTTTGAATTCCAGAATGCTGGTTAGATACCTAGGTGATGCTTTGTTGTTTGTGTGTGTATGTCCATTACTCTTCTCATGAGTGTAATATAGGTCTACCCCCTTGATGCACCATGGGCAATACTCTCAGTGACAATGTATTTAAATCCCTGATATGTTTCAGAAGCAAGTATCCAGCCATTTAGAGACAGAAATCTTTCTGATCTCTGGCCCTTTTCCTAGAAAAATATATTTCCTATAAAAATCCTAATCAATAAATAATCAGAAAATAATGCAGAGATTGAGCAGAATCAAACATGTTAAAGACAAATTAAGCTATACATCCCAGACAAAATAGATTTAAGCGAGCTCAGATATTCTTTACTTTAATTACTGCTATAGTTTCAGTACTGAAGTACTGTAGGAGAAAAAAATGCAAACAACAATTTTAAATACTTTTTTTATTTCATCAACACCATTAAAGAAAACATTTGTACAATGATTTATCACATGTAAGATAGATGGCATAAAGCTGTTCTCTGGCAATTGTATAAAATTCTAAAAAATTTCCAGTATTTAAGCATAAATGAGAAGAATGTGTTTTACATTTTAATTACAAAAACTTAACATATAGTGGTTTAAAATGTAAAAAAACATTCGCTTCTCACACATGAATAATTTTAAGAAGGCAGTGAGTGTTCAGTGACTGACCAGCAGTACTTTAGTGCAGTTTTTTATGGAAAATGTTTATAAAATATTGTTGCATAAAATGTTCTGTGGACTTCAGCTCTCTGATCCATATGTAGCTAAAAAGTATTCAAATAAAGGCACTTTTTTTTTTTCAATGTCTTTAAACTATGATGATGATCACATTATCCATTGCACAATTTCTTATGACTAAAGCATTATACACATCGATGTGTTTCGTACCTACTTGCATTTGTACTGCATTATTCCAAATGATACACTTAATACATATACAGTTCACATGGAAATATGCATGATTTTTTTAGTTTAAGTTTAAAAATTCCGTATTAATTACTGTTTTAATTCTCATTATCTCGAATAGAAACTTGTTTTCAGATTGTGCATTTATCATACAATGTAACAATATCAAGATTCATACATATCACATATGAAGTATAAAAGTATGAAAGCAATAGTAGATTTAAAAAAATTGAAAATTATGAAAGTCATTAACTATAGTATTTCACAAATTTTTTATTTATATTTATAAACGATTCTCATGATCCTGTGTATGCACCTAAAAAAATGTCTTTCTTTAAAATAATTCACAGTTCTTCAGAGTCCATATGTTTAAGCTTAGTCCACAAGAACGAAACAAAATGATGATTGTTTACTGTTGAGATTATTTTTGATTGCTTAAAAGTCCCCTCTGAGAAGCGCTGACTGTTGGGGGTGAAATACTACTATCCCTGGATATTGCAAGAGACCTAGAGAGATCATCACTTTGCAATGATTCACTTAAGTTCTCGAAGTCAATAGCACAACTATTGTTCAGCTGTTGTTGAATATCGAGTTGTTTAGCTAACATCCGTGATGTTGCTGTAGAATAAGACGGTGGTGGTGTGTATTTTGGTGGTGGATCATCAATGAAGCCACTATTTGTTGAACCCTGACTCAGAGAAGGTGAAGAATTTAGGGAATGTCTGGAGCCAACAGAAGGTAATGGAACTACTGGACAACATAATAATTTCAGACGCTACAAAAGAAATGAACATATATCAATTATTGATAAAATATAATTTGCAACATTTATGATTCAGATATTAATTATTTATTACTATTAAAAAACTATATATAAAATATTTTCAATCATTATATCATAGTGCATCATTATATTACATAGTGATTTGATTTTACATCAGTTTTATGTAATAAAAAAAATAAACATATAGAGTCAAAAGTCGTTAATTTGGACACCCATAATCCGGAATGATCTATAATCTGGACCTCAAAGCTACAAACTTTCTGCGCATTGACGCATGCGCATAAGACCTTTACGGCTGCAAATATGCGTGTGCGCATGCGCAAAATATGTTTACGAATGCACGTTTAATGTGTAACGGACGGTATAAGCTAAGCTAAAATTATCTAATTCAGTTAATGATGCAGATTGCGTTGTTCCTTAATCTTCGAATTAGATCCGGCTTATTATTTTATGCAGACTGTTAGAGCAATTTAAAAAAAGTGAGCTTGAACTTTCGATTATGTCAAATAGAATTTCTGATATACATTTACTAATATGTAAAGGATCTACAAAGCAAAAGTATGTTTCGAAGTCCATTAAACAAAAAGTGGAATCGCTGCAAAAAATCGATAAAGGCATATCCTTTGTTTATCTAACCATTCTGAAATCTGTTTATCAATTTTACACGCTGCTCTGCATGTGGAGGGGGGAAACATCGCTGCACGCAATGAACTGGAAGTTGATCTGTCAGCACTATCCTTATCTTCAGCGCAGATGTTTTTATTTTATTTGGCTTATAATTCCTTACTAAATGTAGTATTTCATCTCGATGTACTCCTCTTTGATATGATTTAAATCAAATTCCTCGTCATTATAATTCGCTTCCAACAGCAAAGAAAGTCACAGAGGTTATTGAAAACGAAAAAATTTCGATTGACAAATTAGTCGGTATTCTCGACACAGCAATTATCGGACTTGAACAACGGAACTTGTAAACTGAACAAGAAATTATGTCTGTTTATAGAATTAAAGAGAAGTATTATCACATAAAAACGAAGCAACTTAAACAACTTACATTGAAAGAAATGTTTAATAAAGTAAACAATAAATATTAAGCTTTTTTTTTTTTTTTTTTTTTGTAAATTTTGATACCCTTTAAATCATAATTGCTCTTTATTTCATAAATTACGGTTTCATATTTTTAACTTTATAATCATATTTTTAACTTTATAATTTCTGCATGCCATCTTACCAGATTTAAACTGATAATCTATAATCAGAAAAATCGATAATCCGGAATCGCCGAAGTCCCGACGAGTCCGGATTAACGACTTTTGACTGTATAATTAATTATTGATAAAATATAATTTGCAAATATAGGATTTGGATATTAACTAATTATTAAAACTATATACAAAATATTTGCTATCATTTACATTACAGTCAACATTACACAGTGATTTATTTGATTTTACATCATATTCATTTGATTTTCTTAAGATGATTTCTAATTTCACAAATACGTCATGAAATTTATTCTTATAAATAAATGAAAATATAACTCTAATTCAAATCAAAATTTTAAATGTTGCAGCAACATAGTTAGTTATAGGTTAACACATTACTCAAAATTATCAGTCAATAATATAGAAATATTGAAGAACCATGGCTCAAATAGCAGAGTGCACAGCCAAATTTTGCGAAATATAATGCAAAAGCAACAGGTATCAGCTGAAATATTCAAATGTATATATGATGTTCAAAATTATATTAACTGAAATGCAACAGAGAGATTTATTAGCAACCGCTGCTATTCCAACCAGAATCATTCAAACACATTTTCTGTTGATGACAGTCTAAAAGATGATCACCTATAAAAGTTACTTAACCCTTTCCTGCACACTACCTTTTAAGTCGGAGTTTTGATTTAAAAAAAAGAGAGAGAGAGAGAGGTAGGCAGTCTAATTAGGCCTAGAGGAGTACACAAGTAAAATTTTGTGAAGATAGCACTTATTGTTTTAATTCTGTGGGTGTGCCCAAAGTGGCACACTGATTGCGTAGAGCTGCGAAAAGAGTGCTGAAACGAGCATTGTTGACAATGAACTGACCAATGAGATGCGGAGAAACAAAGAATACAGACTGTCAGTTGTCCTAGATTATCGGTGAGCCCGGTCTGGGCACACCTAGGTTCCCAATTGATTTTAGGCAAGATTTCAAGGTAAAAAATTTAAAACTAATAGAATAAAGAGATTGCTACAGCCAAAAAATAACATAGAATTTCTTTTCAAACATTCCTTTATACCCTAAAAAAATCTGGAAGATTTCTTGAAAATGAGGGTCTTAAAAAACCAAACATGGTAAAATATATGGATTGGTTTATTTTGAGCTGCCATCTACTATAAATAAAGAAGGTTCAGAGTAACCTATAGTAAAATATAATTTCTTTTTCATTCAGTTTTTCTGTGCGTACAGAAGGAAATTTTTAGGTGTGTCCAGACCAGACTCACTGTGCCGCAAAGGGTTAACCCCCCCCCCCACATGAAGATATGTTAGTTCATTAGAAATAAGATGATACACACAATCACAGCTTAAATGTGAAGAATTTCTCATAGCATCATTCTTATACTGTAGAATAACGAGGCTCCCACTGCAGTTCAATTTTTTTTTTTTAACTTCTCCGATTTCCCATGACCAAATGGGACAATTTTCCTGACTAAACATAATGAATTAGTTATAAAAAAAGGTGTGAAGGAATGAATAATTTAATGCATTTACTATGAAATTAATATTCAAAATAAATTACTAAGAACATTAATCCCATTCATTATTGAAAAGAAAATTAAAGAAATACATGTAAAAGGTTATAGTTAAAACTCTCCCCCCCCCCAAAAAAAGTAGGTTATGTCATTAAAAAGAAAACACAAATTCTTGGGGGCAACGTCATTTTGCAAAATAAATTAATACAGTACTCTGTTCATAACAAACTTACTTCTATGATATGAATGAAAACTGAAATGAAACTGAAAACAAAATGAAACTGAAGAGCTAAGATTTCCACTAGACTGAAAAAAGTGCTTAATTAAAATAATTACTGATTATAATGTACAACTGCATGTTTGTCATTTCCTAACTAAATTATTTATTTTTGAAGTCATTACATTTTTAAAGAAAGCAGTGATAGAATAGTTGAATGAAAAACAGCGAATAATAGCCAGAAGAAGATAGGGAAAAGTATCATAAAATCTCATATATCAGATATCAGGTGGCTAAACTTTCTGCAAGAAAAACAAAGGATACTTTTCCGTTTTTGCGGCGCAACCAATAAAGTCGCCAATAATGTTACAACTGATGTCAAACGGAATGAATATCCTCACTGGTAACCTTCTACACCTTATTTTCAAAACAAGTCACAGCCATTTCTTATCAGATTGATTGTTTCTTTTCAATACTGGCATACAATTACATATAATTTTTATCAGATATCACAATTTTATGCCCTAAGCCCATTCGCGGTAACTAAATCAATTAGAATGCAATCACACCTCTCACTCGAAGGTGATAGAAAAGGCAAAGTCAAGGGTTAAATTCATCAATTCTAATGAGAATACACTAGTGAAGTAAAGCACTGTGTGGTTTTACATAATTTCTGAATAAGCTATTCATACAAATTAAAATAATTCTTGCATTTAAACTTGTATTGAAAATTAAGATTTAACTGGAAATTAATGTAGATAATTACTGAGAGAATTTGATTTTTGTAGCGTAGTTTACATGAGATGATATCACTTGGGGTCACGTGATATGAACCATGAAAGCATAATAAATTCTTAAATTAATGTCTTTTTACAAATTTATTGTCTTTATTTATTGGCTTTTTACAAAATTTTAAATGATAATAAAATGTGTATGAATTACAAATAAAAATTCTTAGAACTAACATTTGTTAACATTTTTTATGTGTATACTGTACGTTGTCGCCAAATAAAGTCTGCTTGGCGAGATTTGCGCTGGCAAAACTGAAAAGTACCAAGCAAAGATTACAGTAACTCTTCACTTGCTTTCTCTTTTACAATGGACAATTTTTGTTTATTGAATATTATTTAAAACATGAGGAGCTTTTAGTATTTGAAAGGGCTGACCTATGCTCATTTTTTTAAAATTATCCTGACTTTTTTGGGAAAAAATATTTAAAGTTTCCTTGACTTTTTAGAAATAAGTTTATATTTGCCCTAGACATTTTTTATTTTCCTACTATAAGTAAGTTTTTGAAGATTGGAAGTTTTGTTGACAATATAACCTTTAAATTAAGGGAATGACGAAAAATATTCACTACTAATGGTAAGAAGGAATAAGAGAACGAATACAGTAGGGGTGCACAACCTTTTTAGCAGAAGAGATACTCACAAAAACGACTTGGTTGCCGAGGGTCATTAGCGTATGCAAAAAACTTTTTTCGGAGGGAAGGGTGAAGTCAATGCAATCAGTTTCTTAATTTGCAATTCAGACATATCAAATTTAAACTGATTTGGAGACCATTACATATGTATGTAAGCAAAAAGGAAGGGGGATTTTGCTTTCACCTTGCATGAACACACCCAGTTCAGTTTGGGGGCAAAATACAGTTTATGTTTGTGCATGATAATTTAATATATAAATATTTTAATAAAAATAAGTACAAGTTAGTCATAGTTAAATACATTAGTGTGATGGTTGAAATTGAATTTTATCAACAATTTTTGATATATTTGGTTGAAAACTAGTCGTTGATATTCTTAAGACATTGGAAGTGTTGATCTGTCAGTTTATTTCTTAATTTTGACTTATTTAGAATCATAAGAGAAAATGTTTGTTCACATATATAAGTACTACTAAACATGCATTACTTTTAAGTCACTTTTTGCATTATTTTTTCAGCACAAAAATTTGTCAGGTAGAGTTTTATAGAAGTCAAGAATGTCTAAATCATGGAATCTGGATTTGCATAAGTTTGTAAATCAAGAAGTTCCATTTGACCATCTTTTGGAGCTTCTTCAACTACAACAGAAAATGGATCCCCAAAACAGTTTAAATTTAACCTTATGCAAGTCAAAATCTGTAAATTACTTTTTAAATAAAGTAAGCAGCATCTTAATTTGACCTGAATAATACAGTTGTTTATCAGGAAAATTTTCCTAAAGTTTCTTCAGGAAAGGTAAAATGACAAAATGTTGACAACCAAGACGCTATGAGAACAGCTGGAGTTTTAGTTTGAAAGCAGATACTAGTTGAATTGGTTTTTTCCATCAATTTTTTGTTTGGGTTATTCGGATGGGCTGTCACATTAACTAAAAATGCCAAGTCATACTTGAAAGATGGTTTCTTTAACACCCTAGTTTGCTTGCCTTTTTCTTCAAGAAATGGTATTATTTCATGAGTCAAATCAGCAAACCTTTTCAAAGCCTCTACACCAGCGGGTTCTCAACCTTTTGACTAATGCGTACCATCTAAACAAAAATTGAAAACCTTTAGTACTACCACTACAAAGTACTACTACCACCACCACTCTTGTACAAAGCTCAGATGGCATAAATTTACGAGTGTTAGAGAAAAAACTCAATCAGGATGTTGGGGTTTTAATTTTTGAATTTAACAGTTAAAAATACTTTGCTTCTTTGCGTACCACCTATTTTCTCTTGCGAACCACCAGTGGTACGTTGAGAACCCATGCTCTACACGGCTCAACTACTGTACTTCAGAATAATATATGAGACCACTATGTTGTGCATCTGTATGTTCTAAGATTTCTTTAAATTGCCTGTAGTTTATAAAAGTGAATAAAATTAATTTTATCGTTCACTACATTCATTAGGGGGTTAAATTCTAGTTCTTTAGCATACAGCTGTTCTTAGTGCATGATACAGTGACATCCAAGCAAATTTTTGCCTCGATCATCCAAATGGTTGTGTCTCGGTAAACTCGCCATACCATTCTGAATTCTAATCATGGCTGGAGCACCATCAACAGTGATACTAACAAGTTTGTTAGAATTAAAATTATGTGCAGAACACAAATTTAAAATGGAGGATAAATATGAGCTCAAGTTGTTTGCCTCTTCACTCTACTCATCCCAGCAAGTTCTTCAGTTACTTCAAAATTTTCAGAAATTCCTCTAACAAACAAAAGCAGCTGAGTTGTTGAAGTAATGTCTGTTGACTCATCGGCTGCTAAAGAAAAGTACTTAAATTTAGCAACAGCAATATGTAATTGTTCATTAACATCATCAGATAAATTTAAAATCTTTCTTTGAACTGTCATTCTGTTGAGACTCACATTTTTAAATTTCTTCGCAGCTTCAGGGCTTACTTTCTTGGACGGCAACAATATACACTCCTTTGCAAAATCGCCATCAGTAAATGGGAGGCCACTTTTAGGAATTAAGGCTGCGATTCCCAAACTAACTTCAACACAATTATGCAATTGTGAAGATGCCTTTGTAAATACATTTCTTTGTGCAACAATGAAGAGATTCGATTATATGATTTCATTCCTATACCTCAAGCTTTGAAAACGTTGAGTGTTTTGTGTGGTAGTGTCGCTTAATATTATACTCCTTGCAAACCCTAAATGTAAAATTACATATCAAGCATATAATTAATTCTATTATCTTGCTCCACAAAAATGTATTTTGAAGTCCAAGCCTCCAAAAATTTTCTATTATCGTCTGCTACCTTTCTTTTCATTTTCAATCCATTTATCACGACAAGTTACTATCAAAACCACATAGAACAAAAATGACAAAAGTTCTACGTTGGTTCCTCTTTCAAAATAATATTTTAAAAAGTGAAATATTCAAATCAAGAAACTTCTTAATGGAGAAAAGAGAAATTAACACACAAGTGATAAAATAATGTATAGTCATAGAGCCAAAAGTGCAACAACACAAAACAAATGAATGCAGCACTTTCGATCACAGAAAATATTTTTCTATCCCATTTTTTACTAGTGCATATGCGCAAACACCTTATGCTATGTCATACCACACATCTTTCCTCAATCTGTACCCCATACAGGCTGTACAGACGAGCAGTTTTTGCACTCAGGTGGCGACACTTGCTTTGGTTGATGGCAGGAACTTGGCTCAGTGCCAAATTTCACTTCTAGAGGAGAGAATAGAATGGGTTAATGAAGGAGGAAAGGGTGACCTTTTTATTCCTACTCACAGCCCCTTCAAGAGATAAATGACATGTCAAATCACAACAAAATTTTGAAGGTCTCAGAGGGCCCCAAGTTTACCACTCAGAGGCCACATTTGGCCAGCGGCAATTCACTTTGAAGAGATTTATAAAAAGTGGTGCTCTTATAAAAGCAACAAATCTTCCTCTAAGTAATTAGTGCAAAACTATTAAAAAAGATGGCATGATGAGCTGAAAAGAGTCTTTCACAAATTAGCACAGAATTTTTTTTTTCAGAAATGTTGGTAATCATGTAGTATACTAATTACTACTTTTAGTAAATTTGTTATTTCTTAGATGGTGCCACTAAAGCTCTGTTTTTAAATTCAAACATGTGATAAAACGGTGAGAAAAATAAATGATTGAAACAACAACCAGATTTAGTGCCACCATCTAAAAATAATAATAATTAAAAGCAATAGATCATGTATCACATGATTATCAAAATGTTACTTACAGTGATATATCCTGAAATTCATATTCATCATGCTAGTGCTACTTTGGTTTCTTATGACCAATAACTATTAAACTTACCAGGTGAGGTTTATCAATACTTTTTCTCTCTGTAAATGCATTTAATGAGGGATACCTTCATCAAATACAAATATGTATAATGCATTTGTCATCTCTGCTGAATGAACAGCAGTTAAAGTCTACTCCAGTGATGAGTGAAAAAGTATTCCATTAAGAACTCCAGCACCGCATTCATGCCACTGAGCTATATCACATTATCAGCAGTTAGAAGCCATACTTATTTTACTACAGCTCTATCAATGTTTCATTATTTTGCTTTTGGGATGCATAATAGGATGCCATTACATGTACATCATCTGTCCTTGCTTTTTTTCAAATAAAAATTTTTATATGCAATTTTTGACTAATCATGCAATTATACTGTGTGTTACAGCATGTTATTAAATTCCATTATTCTCTGTTTCAGATTGTGTTAACTGTGAGACAAAAATATTTTTTTCAATTTCAGGTAAAATTTTAATTTACTTATTATTCTAGCTAATAAAATGAAAATATTTCAGTTTTTAAATGAATTTAATATTTGTCTGATATAAAAATAATTTTTGAAAATGTTATATCAAATTTTTCATCTGTAAAGTTGAATACAATCATTAAAAATTACATACTAAGTTATAAAAGCTAAGTGAATAAATACCTCAATAACAGGTAAATCTTTCTTTGAGGTAAAGACTTTGAAAGCTTGATAGGCACAAACTGTAATGATAAGTATGAGAGGAAACATTTGTATGCACAAATTCAAGGTCTTAGCCCATTGGTGCCAATAATGATAATTATCCATCAGCTCTCCCATTGCAGAAGAGCCATCAATTGAACTATTCCGCAAAAATGAAATTGTAAGAAGCTATAAAAAAATGAAAAAAAAAATTCACATGAGAGAGCGAAACTAATATTTGATTTTACATAAGAAATAAATATGGAAATGAAACAGAAAATATATTCAGTTAAAAAAAAAATAAGGGAAAACAAAAATAACTAAAGCAATAAAAAATCAATACAATAACCATGTTATTTTACTTTTTGCAAAAAATACATTTTAAAGTTTGTCTACACACACCTTTACAGAAACATCACAATTTAAAGCAATACTTTAATTGTATTAAAAAATTTAACCTTTTCAGGATTTTTATTTAAAAGAATATCTATATATGCACAAAGATAGGATGTATTAATATCTTACTAGAAATGAAACTGGAAGGACTATATTCCACATGAAAGTGAGTAAAGGCAAAATTTTTGATCGCCTTACTGGGTTACGACTTATAATGTTGACTAGTTGATCAGTGCCATATGGTCGACCTGCAAAACACACCACAAATTATCTTACTCAAATATATTATGTACTAAAAAGCAACGTAATTTAATAAAACACAGCCCCCCAAATGCATAATAGACAGTGTAATGTAAATCACAACCAAACTTAAAATATTAGATAAATATACTTCTTGTTGAAACATTAAATATACTTAGAAATCTTGCCAGAATGGTTATATAAAAAAATTTATTTGCATATTAACTTCCAATGCAGAAATTTATATTCCAGTGATGATAGCACAATCTGGATTCAAAATGCAGACCTCAATTTAAAAAGAGAAAATGTGTCCATCATCACATATTTATGTTCAGTGCAATTTTTTCAGTCATTCTAATTATCAGCAGGCATACACAATTTCAGTATCACAACAAAATTTAATTGATTAGCTGAATTTTTGGGACAAAAAGTATTTAAATTTATTTTTAAATTACAAGAATAACACTGAAAAGTCTTATAATATGTAATGACGCTGGGTGACAACATACTGCTGTGTTAAGCAAGAGCCTGTGAAAGTACGGCCATAAAACAAAACTGGACTGTGGATTTGCTTTTGATTCAGAATAAGGTGAATTAATTGGATTGGTATGTCAACAGAAAAATACACTGGTGAAATAAATTAAGAGAATTTGCATAATTTATCGAACTTGCATCAAAAGAACTGAACTGAAGGAAAAACTACTGCTTCTATATAAAAATGAAAATCTTGTACGACAAATAAGTTAAGTGTACACGTGTGTATAGGCAGAGCCAGCAGAAAAACAGGCTTTATAAGCGTGTGGAGGGTAAAGACGAATTGCACTTGCTAGCACACCTCGGCAAATTTCTTGGTGTTATCTTGCAGCATTAGGTTAAATTCACATCGGAACAGTAAAAATGAGTAACCACCAATGTTTAGATGATGGAATGAGGTGCCGAATTGTGGGGAGACTAGAGGCAGGCCAATCACAAGTCCAGATATGCAGATAGTTTAATGCCCAGCGTCACTTATAACCTATGGAAACATTTCCAGGATACTGGATCCATCAAAAGAAAGCCTGGGAAAGGTCGTCCAAGAGGCGTAACAGAAGGGCTACAGCTTCTTAGCTCTCTCAGGACCTGTATGCAGCCACAGGAACCCGTGTAACAAGGGTGACTGTTTCCAAAAGACCGAATGAGAGAGGGTTGTTTGGCAGAAGACCAGCTGTTTGCGTTTCGCTTACATCTACGGACAGGAGAGTCCAATTAGCATGGTGCAGGCAGCATAGTGATTAGAGTATAGAGCAATGAGTGACCGTTCTGTTCAACAACGAGTCCCGTTTTAGCCTAAACATTGATTCTCGCCATACTTTATGGAGAGAGCCAGAAACCCACTACCTATCCTCCAATGTCTGCGAAATCAACAATTATGGCAGTGTAATGGTCTGGGCAGGCATCATGTTGGATGGCCACACACCTCTCAATGTCTTTGACAGAGGCTCTGTGACTGGTGTGAGGTAAAGGGATGAGGTATTGGAGTCCTATGTTCGCCTTTTCCGGGCTGCAATGGACCCCGAGTTCATCTTACAGGACGATAACACAAGGCCACATTGAGCTCTTCCGGTCGACGAATTTCTTGAGAATGAGGATATTTGACGGATGAACTGGCCAGCCACATCTCCAAACTTCAAACCTATACAGCATATCTGGGATGCTCTGGGGAGAGCAACTGCAACTCGCAACACCCCCTTGAGAACCATCCAGGAACTGAAATCAGTGTTGCTGAATGTGTGGGACCAGTTGCCACAGGCACTGATAAACTGCCTTATTTCCAGTATGACATCACGCTGTGATGCCTGTGTGGCTGTAAGAGAGGGCCATACTCCCTACTGACCCATTTCTTTTGTGTCTTCTGCAACCGCTGTTTCAGACCTTCAGACTCCCATGAGTGTTATACACGAACATGTGTGCCTATTATAACTGTTGAATGTTTATTATGTTTGTATTATATCAACCTATGTTGACACCAAATTTTATTAAAATCTGTCCAGTAGTTCTGGAGACCTTAGAGCAAATATGCAAATTCTCTTCATTTATTTCGCCACTGTAGAATCAGTGCTACAGCATATCTGTAACAGTTTCTATGTAGTGCATAGTGTCCTGCTACCTTTTTCCAGAAGATTCCATTTTTCAAATTTGTGTTATTCACTTAAATGAAAAGCTTTCTACCTAAATGTAAAAGAGATGTTTCATGTCCTCTGTTGATTTTAATTCACTGCTATCAAAATCAAATAGGATGTATTTATATATAAATATATAGTCTACCAAACAGTTCTGTCTAATAATGTCATTTCAAATTTCAGTATGTATGCATGTGTTCACTGGAAAATCTCTTTTTATCATTATATTAATACACATGTGCTCTTCTAAATTAATTGAAACAAAAGTGTCTCATGTCATTATTAAGTGATATGTGATGGTGTAAACACAGCTGCCAATAAAGTTCATTTACAACACTGTGTTTTATACAAATTCCAACAAAGAAGAAAGGCTACAAAAAGGTGTCAAAATGTAAAGAACCTCTTTGGTGAAGATAAGTTTTGGATAAAATCTGCAGGAGATGGTTCAAAAAATTTGAAGCAGATGATTTTGAAGCCATGCTCTAGGTGGCCATCTTTCATCGATAATGATATTGTCAAGACCATGATAGAGCAAAATCCTTTTTCTGATTACACTGGCACTTGCAGAAAAGCTTAACTTAGCTCAACAAAAAATTTTGGACCATATTCAGAAATTATGATCGTCCTGTAACTATTTCGGATAGATGTCTCTTGAGCTAACTGAAAAAATGTGTATGATCGAGTCGTCATATGCATATCTCTGCTTCCTCAGGATAGGTAAAAAAAAAATAATAAGAAGAATAAATAAATAAAGAAAAATTTAAAAAAAAACACCCTTCTTTGATAGGATGATAACTGGTGATGAAAAGTGGATTACCTATGAAAACATCATTAAGAAAAGAGCTCACTATGAGCCCAGACAACCTCCCCCTCCACCTATAAATTGAGTTTGAGCCAAAAAATGCTCTGTATATGGTGAAACATCCAAGGACAAATACATTACGAGCTTTTGGAACTTCACGAAAGACTCAATTTGGAGAGATATCACCAGCAAATGGATGATTTAAACAAAGCAGTCGAAGAAAAAAGGCTTGTGATATTCAACAGGAAACATACTGCACCATGATAATGCTTTGGCGGGTCAAAAAAATCTTGCTGGCAGCTAAGCTGGAAAATTCTGCTGCATCTATTACACTTCTCAGACCTAGCATCCTCTGATTATCACTTCTTTCTCACCTTATACAATTTTTTGAAGGGGGAAAAAATTCGAAACTGAAGCAGATGTCAGTCATGCACTATTTGAGTTCTTTATTTCTAAGGATTTCATTTTTAAAAAATGGTATTTACAAATAACTCTTATGCTGCCAACAGGTCATAAGTAACAAAAGAAATTATAATGTACAATAAATATTATTAGAAGTATGAATTCTGACTTAAATTTCCAATAGCTCCTTAATTCTTCATTTTAAAATGCTCACAACCACCAATGAGCACATCAGAATGGCATCACTTTGTATGTCGGCAATGCTCTGAGAGGTCAGTTAACTATCATAAAGAAGTATATGCTTTATTTTCTGTGTGGCACTGAAAGACGAACAAAGTTGTTTAGGTAAGTTAGTGCTGCATTATTTTTCTTTTTTATATGTGCAGTTTTCAAATTTTGTGTTTGAATGTTTTTATGTGTATTTTTATAAATGGCAGAGCCTTTACAGCCCACGCAAAGTAAATAAAAAAATTTACCAATGCCAAAACATTAGAATTATTAGGAAAATGTGACCTCTCCAATTATGAGAACACAGAGGATGAAGACTATAAAATGACTATATATGAAGAAGATGGTAGGGATTCTCTGAGTAAATCAGAAGGAGATAGTGATATTGTGGTCAAAATCATAGAAACTTTCGATCTTGAGACAGAAGACAACAATACACCTCAACAGTTACTGACGATTACGCGTGGACACCATGTATGAGTGCAAAGACTGCCCAAACAAACCAGGGTATTGCTTGAACTGCTGTGAAATATACCATGAATGATAATGTAGCAATGCAGTACTGTTTCCTATACAAATGACTTTTCATTTGCAATAAGTTTATAATTTTTGTATTCTTTTCCATAATTTCCTACATCAATTATGCATTAATATATACTATGCTACATTATATAATCTTTAGAGCTAAGCATTCAACATCTAGGTATATGAGTATTTTTTATAATTTTCATTTTGCTTTAACATTTGAAATAGTAGGAATAATTCAGCAATGCCAATATCTGTATTTTGTGCTTGCTATTCCAAAAGATTTTCAATATTTTTTCATAAGTGCGGCTTCTTATTGTCCAATTATGTGCTTCATTACTTTTTTAAACTGTGGCTTTATGCAATATGTCAATAATTTCTTAAAATAAGATCACACATGTTAGAGCATCGGTAGCATACAGATAATAGGTTGAACTTGATGTGTCGCTGCCGCTCTAGACCATCAGGAAAAACTATTAAACTAAACATAAACATTATAAGGAACATTTTAACCATTAAAACACTATTTGGTAATCCAATTTCTAAGGATGGAAATGTCATTTTCACTGCCAGCGAGTGTGTTAATTTAGGTATTTGCTATATTTTAATAAAGTAACTACTTAAAACTTTTCTGGACTGATTCATTTCTAGATTCATCCACATTACATAACTTTTACATAAAGCTATAGCAAAAATAACTTAGCTTTAAGCCAATAATAATATTACAGACTAATTAATCTGTCAATCAGAATGACATTGATATTGAAAAACCACTCTGAATTAAGATTTCATCCAAAACATAATGCATTTCACTTTTGCTTCTTGGCCTACCTAGTCTGCTGCTTCTCTTCTTACAACAAAAATAATTAAAATGTAAATATTTTGGAACAGGCACGATTAGTATACTAAGTTATTTGTAAATGCAATGCCAATTAAAACAAAATTAATAGTAAATCAGCCAGACCTGCTTTTTATTAATTCTGCTTCAGTTGCCAAGTTGCTCATCATTATGGATCAACATCTGCACTATCAACATTTTCTACATCATTATACACACAGACACACACGTGTAAGATATAAAAATAAGATGGAAATTTATTAACAAATTAAACTTAATTGGAACAAACTGGCAAAAGCCTTCAAAGTCCTAATTTTAATCCTAGTACAACAACCTTCAGTGCATCTATACTGCGTCATTGATGTCACTCTTTCCCTGCAATTTTTCTGCACTACTATAAACTTTTGCCCAATCAACTGTCCAGAACTCAAATGAACTGAGATTATAAATAACTCTAACTGTTTAATATGTTTCACTTTTTCACCTACTGCTGACAGAATAAAGCCATGTCTTTCACTTCATGGTACTTCTTTTCTACTATCTAAAATGTAAGCTGTGTATACAAAATTATGGGGTGTTTATTACACTGATAATCATGTGTGAAGCAAATATTATGCCTCCAGAACTGCTTCATCTAATAATATCATTATGCTGAATTCAGCTATGTCTGTCTGCAAGTCCATCAATCTGTCTATGCAATAAATCACTGACATTCCATTACACCTATCACCTGGAAAATTATTTCGACCATGGCTAAAAAATGAATTGGTTTCATCTTCCCTAGCTTAACAGCTAACTTTCTACACAGTTCTATCGACGTACCATCAAAAATAACTGAATACTAAAACTACACTGACCGGCCAAAGCATTATGATGATCCCCACAATTTTCAATGAACTCATCTGGATGATGTGGAGAGTATGTGATTATGTGGGAATGGTATTTAATTACTGTTGGAGAAGGTAAGGAATCATTCTTGCACTTACTTCTGTGAGGAATGGGAGAGGCTGCTGATCTAAGGAAATTTGATAGAGAGCAGATTGTAATGGTCTGAAGATATCCAAAACTGCAAGACTGGTAGGTTGTTCACAATCTGCTGTTGCTAGTATTTATGTAAAGTGGATAAATAAATGATGGTGAAACTAACAGTAGACGACAAGGTATTGGATGTCCATGCATCATCAAAGAAAAAGGACGTTGGGGACTTGGTACAGCAAACTTGGTGCCAGACAGTGGCTCAGTTGGCAGCCTAATACAATGCACGTCCAAGTGCAAGTGTTTCGCAACATATAGCTAATTTAAAATTCTGACATTCATGAAAAATTTTTGACATACTTTGACATCACATGCAATCGCGTGCTTTCTTCAACATCAAAATATGACCCTTATACAATAATATTTTAATGTGTTGGCAATGCTATTTTTATTTCATATTTTGTAAAACTTACAAATTTTTTTATTACGAATTCTACATTTGAAAGCGAGCAGTGGCAACACATTTCTAAATAAAGCATTTTTTTTATCTCCAGTGCACTGCTGCCACTCAGAGAAATGAATTACAGTTTTAAATTAATATCTTGGTTGATTAAAGTCCTACAGCTGAGAAATATTTGAAAAGGCTTCTGATGAATTTGGAATCTAAGGGTATTAACTTTTGGTATATGTCTCAAAACTCAGCTCCCCGCCGTTCCAGAGGAGATGAAGTTATATCTTGGTTGATTAAAGTCCTACAGAGCTGAGAAAATATTTGAAAAGGCTTCTGATGAATATTTGGAATCTAAGGGTATTAACTTTTGGTATATGTCTCAAAACTCAGCTCCCCGCCGTTCCAGAGGAGATGAAGTTACAAACAAACAAACAGTCACGCACAGAGTTTAATACTATAAATGCTTATGAATTCATGAAAAATTTTTGACATACTTTGACATCACATGCAATCGCGTGCTTTCTTCAACATCAAAATATGACCCTTATACAATAATAATATGTTTAATGTTTGGCAATGCTATTTTTATTTCATATTTTGTAAAACTTACAAATTTTTTATTAACGAATTCTACAATTTGAAAGCGAGCAGTGGCAACACATTTCTAAATAAAGCATTTTTATCTCCAGTGCACTGCTGCCACTCAGAGAAATGAATTACAGTTTTAAATTAATATCTTGGTTGATTAAAGTCCTACAGAGCTGAGAAAATATTTGAAAAGGCTTCTGATGAATATTTGGAATCTAAGGGTATTAACTTTTGGTATATGTCTCAAAACTCAGCTCCCCGCCGTTCCAGAGGACATAAAGTTACAAACAAACAAACAGTCACGCACAGAGTTTAATACTATAAATGCTTATGAATAGCCACATTAACTAAAAGATTCTGAAATCCTTGTTAATTTTCTGTGAAATATTTCTTTTTTAATAAAAAATTGTTTCATTTCTTTAAATTTTATAAATTTATAACTGCAGCTGGAAAACTAGATTATAACATAATTATATCATAACCAAACTAAATTATAATGAAATTCGATCAGCCATAACATTATGTTGTAGTATAATCTAGTTATAGCTCTAGAACACCTAGCTCTGGATGACTTCTGAATCAGAGTATGAGGCTTCTACTGAAATGAAGTTTGACCACCCTTACTCTACAATGATATTCAATCATGGCTGATGCTAGGCATTTTTGCTGCCTGGTGCAATCTATGTGGGTGCTAAATTCTGATGCCTCATACTTTACTAAATTTTAAAAATTTTGTGGTCCCTGAATTCTGCTGTTCAGTGCCTCTCTAAATTCTAAAAATTTTGCCATTCCTATATTTTGTTGCTCAGTATTTCTTTAAATTCTAAAAATTATGTCGCTCAGTGCAACTGCATCAGTTGGCAGAATGCCAGTTACACTGACTCTGGCACACCATAGCAACACCAGTTCTTATGCTGTCCCTATATTAAATGTAGTCTGATAAAATGCCGTAAAATAAAATTAAAATTCATATAAATTATAGTTATATAAAATATACTTTACCTCTAATAAATAAAATGGCAAACAGCATGATGAAATACATCAGTACGATCCACCATAAAGAACTGACACAGAAATCCAGATAGTATATGATATATAGCCCCACCTACAAACGAGAATTTTTTTCTGCTTAGATAGGAGATATACCTTGAATTATAGCAATATCACAGAACGCTGACGAACTAAAGTTAAATCATACGCTAGGCATTAAAAGTTGACTTGCAATACATATGATATAAATATGACACACTAAAATTAAATCAGACTGAAATATTACAAACTAAAATTAAATCAGACTGAAATATTACAGACTACAATTAAATCAGATTGTACATCATACTAAAATACAGCAGTACATTTAAAATGTAAGCTAGGGTAATTTATTTATCTGAAATATGCAAGTGAGGCAGAAATTTTGATTTTGTACCATAAAATAATTTTTATTTCATTAGAAAGAGTAAATCCGAGAATATTTAGTCAGCCATTCATTGCATGTATTTTTGCACTGGACTTAAAGCCAAAATGATAATTAACCAAGAAGCAAATTTCTTTATATTTTTAAAATAGAATACCACTTCAGTGGCAAAGCTTCAACAATGTTGCCAATGGAAATGAATACTTCTCGTGATAGAAAATTTTACTAAATCTAGAAGAATGACACCTTAAAAACTCCAAATTTGACATTCTCATTCCTTAGCAGATGTAAATCAGATTTACAAATATAACTCTTTAGCTACAAGTTTACTCTTAAGCTGCAACTTAACTTATAAGCTGCAAGAACAGACATGGAGAAATATAATTTCTTATAATCTCACATGGTTATTAAAAAAAATGTTGTGCTGCTAACAAGCAACCACTACTGGACTAATCATCAAAGCAAATTCCATCCAGAAAAATGGGATAAAGGAATTTCATACAGAATTGAATTAATAAAAAATGTTATTATACAAAAATATGAACTCGTGATACTTTTCAGAAAACTTGCACAAAATCTTTTATGTTAATGCAGAAGGAAATGTCTACCTTCATGCTCATATTATGTGCATTTTTCAGGTGAGCTTAATTTTTGCAACAAATTGTGATCTTGATTGTGTCTACAAGCAATGGAAATCTCAATATGCATTGGAGAAATGGGTATTATTCTGACATGCGATCCCCATATAATTTATCTAGATTGGAGAATTTGCATTCTCTGTAAAGAACACGAATGAAATTGCACTTCTGTACCTTTAACATTTTCAATTTAAAGCCACAAAATAATAAAAGAAACATAAAATAAAAACTTAAAAAGCATGAAGCATACATAATATAGTACGCAGCATGTGCACGCTATAATCAGCAAATGCATAGATAATATAAAAATGATAACTAATAAATGCTGCATCTAAAATTTATGGTGTTTCTAATAACTTAAGCTGCAAGCCATTTTAAATATTAATAAATCTGATGAAATGACATCATCAGCTCCTAATGCTATTTCTCTGAATCCCTAAAAGAATTCTTTTAATTATAGGGATTGCTGCATATAAGTTGTTATTGCTTATACCCTGTTCCAGCACTTAGCTGCATAGACAGTCTCATGAATAATCAAGGATTGGAGCAAGTGTACCTAACCTTTCACCTACTACTGAACCCCTAAAAGGTCACAGTTGATTGACTTCAGCACCACCTTTCTTCAAAAACAGATATAATACAAAAATGTCCATATTTTATCAGCTAAATAAATTATTTTCAAAGGAATCCATCCAGTAGCTATAAAAAAAATTTTTATATCAATCACATCCTCAGAACAGTGCTTTTAAAAATGTTTTCAGGAGGTGGGAGGAGAAGAAAAAGGGCTAAAACCATAACTGATCAGTTATTGAGTAATTGGTTATTAGAACAATAGACACAAAACAGTATGTTTGTTATATTACAGTAAAAGATTATTTAAAGGCATTAAAACTTTTTGCAGAATGAAAATATAAAATCAGAGCTTAACAAATGGATCCGTTAACATGCCAGCTTTCTCGAATGAATACAATTCAGACCAGACGTAACATAAACTATAATACATAAAATGTTTACTGTTTGAAGCAAATACTTTTGGTACAGAAGTAATTAAGGCCAATTTTATATGTTTAGTTTTAATTATTATTTTTACCATAATTTCTCAATTTATAGGCAAGGCTGTAACGAATTATTGCATTCCCTTATGCATGCTCTTGTGGCACAACAGAAAACACATTCAGCTAGCGAATGGAAAATCTATGGTTCAAATCCCAGTAAGGGCATGGTTGATTTATAATGTTTACCGGTGCAGAATGTTAACTATAAAATCTTTTAACAGATACATTCACTTATATGTGGCTTAAGTTTTTATAGAATCTTTGACGTATTAATTTCATAGAATCTTTGACATCTTTACATACAAAAAGAAGTTAAACGTTGCAACCAAAAGAATCATCACTGCAGACAACAGACAATTAATTTTTTATGTTACCCATATTTTTTATTGCATTAAGATTGTTTATCAAACGTATGGACATGAAATGCAATCAGAAACTTTTCTGAGAAATTCATTCCTCCAAGATGTATACAGGTATTCCTCTTAGAAGTATACTTTGCAGAAAATACAGATATACCTTTTAGAAGTATACTGTACAGAAGCATACAGATGTACCTCTTAGAAGTAGACTGTACAAAAAAATCAGAACCTTGTTCTCATTGGCTGATCTATCCAAAACAGTTTCCAGAACTGTAAAATAATCCAAGTATATAAGCAAAACAGAATTCTGAATGCAACCTTTTCACTAAAGTTGTAGGGAGAAACCTGCTATTCAAATTAGTTCTAGGAGGAGACAATAGCAGGAAAAATTTCCTATTGCATTTTACATCCATAAATCTGTTAACCCTCCAATCATTATGAGTTTAGCCCTAAAATTTCAGAGTTCCTCAAAATGTTGTGTATAAATAGTATTTTCTTAATTATAATTAAAAAAAACTTCCTCACTTTGTACCTTGATTCCTTTTCTTCTAATATACATCCAACCCGAAATTGGATACATTAAAAACTGACAGAAATTTTCATGTGTAATGAATATGAAAGCTACTCTTCCATACAGAATTCTACATCCATAATGCTGAGAAGGTTAAAGCCATTAAAAATTTCATTATGTGACCATAACATAGTGGTATATATTTTTATGATAAAATCTTACTCTATCATTTCCTTAGACATAGCAGAACTCTATTATGATATTCACAGATTACGATTAATTATATAGATTATACATTTTAAATGAGCAAAACATATCATCATAAAATCGATCAAAAATGAACAACAAACTGCACTGTTAAACTGAACTATTCAATAACATTTTTTTTAACAGAACTTACTTTATAAACCCCTGTAATATTCTGTCTCATTTTTTAAAAAAAATTCTCAACATAAAATATAAAATATACAACAGGATTTTACCTCTGTGTTTACTTACATTTGATGTAATTGGAAGACCAAGAAGAAATGCTAAATTGCATGTTATAAACGTCAATGTTGTATGCCAAGATTTGAAAACTTTGTAATTAATAGCAATTACAGATTCTACAACGCAGTACCACATCACTACCTGCAATAAAGTTCAATAAATTGATCACCTCTATGGATATTCAGAAAAGCACTCTATAGAATAAAATATATGTAATATTTGTATATATTTTAACTACAATCTTTGGAAGAGCAGTAAAAATAAACACGATACTACATATGCATAAAACATCACAAAATACCAATACCTGGAAATGTAAAGCATGAATTTTCAAAAATTATCAGCTGCACAAAAACATGTATGTTATTCCCATATGAGGTGCTGCAATTCCTAGTTTGGCTTTTTCTTAAATTATTATTTCATTTCATTATCAACTTTCAAACTACTTACAAGTACATATCTGCATTACATTGCTTTTTTTTTTTTTTTTTTTTCAATTATTCCCCCTTTTTTTGTAACACTTCCCCAAAGAAAATCCCACTAACTCAAGACAACAGCTATTTTGACTTGGGTTAATTTATACTACATTTTGCATCAAGTATTTACAAGACTTACTAAGTAATGAACCCAAAACAATTCATTATGTAGCCCACTGCATGACAGAGAATTTTAGATCTGTCAAGAAGACCTTTATTTAAACATTTATTAGCTAAATTTGTATAATTACTCATTTTAGTCTCAATTTCCATAAACTTACATTCATTAAGATAACATTTACATTATTAAAGAAAGTAAGAAAGCAAAATATCTTAAATTTTAAGCTAATATGTGACAAAAGAAAAAAAAAAAAAAAAATCTGATGACTGTTAAAATCTGTTAAAATTCTCAAGCATTGAAGCTATACCTAACAGAAAAAGAGTACATTGGAAATACAGCCAACAAAGTGATATAAATAATAATTGCCAAGAAAACATAAGACTAAGAACAGGGTGCAGGTTCAAGAGATGTCACTTGCTTTCTTATTTAGCAGAGAAAGTGGCAAAGAATAAAAGTCCGATATGGTTTTTAATGCAGCTACCAAACAGTATCCAATGGGGGGGGGGGATTTTCAGTCAGTCTGCTGATGTTGAAAATACATTTCAATGCCAAAAGATTCATTAATATTTAAAAAATCAGATTATGTCAAAACATGAGGGTTATCTGCTTAAGAGGAGGGATGCCTTTATGGATGACATCTAAAGGGAAATTGGCTTGCATCCACAGTACACATGGAGAAATGAAAATGTTCGTGCAGCCACCCTGCTCACCTGGAATCGAACCCAAGTCAAACTACCCTTCCAGCGAGTTCAGCGACTTATCACTCCAAAAGATTCTTAACAGTGTATCCATACCCACTTTCTTATAGACTGGCATCTTACATGAATACAGCAATGACAGTCAACATTAATCACAGAAAAGACTTACAATGAATAGAGAGGAAAAAATTTCCCAAACTGGGTCAATTCTTTTAATTATCCTCAATGATTTAGATCTTTGCATGTAATCAACATACTCATCATCAATATGTGCATGCTGTAACCACAGATTTCCATTGATTTTGCATTATAAAATCACTTTTAATTTTTGCCACTTTTGATTGTCCATGAAAACTAAACAGAAAACAATGCCCATGAAGCTAAAATAAATTAATTAAAGGCTTCAAAAGCATTGTTTCCTGTTTAATAGCTTAAACTATAACATTTGACACCATGGCTTTTTTTTTAAATGGTGAATTTCAAAATCAGCTGTTACCAATAATTTATATTCCATTATATAATACATATTAAAAATATGTGCAACTGTTGTACCATAAGCCAAAGTTACGGCAATAATTAATTTTTGTCTTATTTTTAGGATTAAATATATGAAAAATAACAGCAAATACCTAATCTGAATAACATTTATTTAAAATGTGATAAAATATATTATTATAGTTTAAAATACTCTCATAATTATTTACAGAATTTTTTTTAATTCCACAATTGATAAATAATTGACAAAATAACATATATAAAAATGAGAGTTTTAATGTTTATTAATTTAGAATTTTATATATGTAAATATATATTTTTACCTGCTGACCAAATCCAAAGAAAATCATGGCAGTATAAAAACAAATGGACCAAAATGAAGAAATGTTGCGGACACCTTCAACAGCAAGAGCAGCAGGGAAAGCCTCTGTTGCTAGGCGCAGAACTTGATAGCCACTCTGATATACATAGCTATCTTTCGGAATTGTGCTTATCCCTAGAAAGAGGCTTGTAACAGTGATATTCTTGTGAAATCGAATCCCAGGCTTCAGTGCCTTGACAGAACTTTCTTCCTCTAAACAGAAAATTTTCAGTATAACAGAAATTAATTTTAATAATAGAAAAAATATAAAGGCTGTAAAATCAAAGTTGTACTTCAATCTGCCTCCCCCCTAAAATAAATTATACTTCAGTCTCCTTAATTAGAGAGCACCTACTGCACTTTTATTATACATTGAATTCAAATTTGATTGCAAAATAAATTAAATACAAAATATTTTTACTTTTCCAAACACCAAATATTTTTAATTATCTAAATTTTAAAACACAATCTGGCAATATCAAAGAGCCTTCTCTTTTTCAAGGAGGACTGATAAAAACTGGGATCGACATTAAAAAAACTGGAAAAAACCACATTAAAAAACATTAAGAATGCTTCTTTAAAAACTGAATTTCAGTTATTTTCTTTAGATCTTGCTTTTTGAGTACTTTTTGAGATACTACTTAAATTTACAGGAGTCACATTATATTTGTCTGGAATATTTCAAAAACTTCTATATTGTTGTAGAAGGGAAGCTTACTACCTTTTCTATTCATGAATTGTAAAATATAATTACTGGAGAACTATTTTTAAAATTAACATATTGCAAAGTTTTAAAAAATAAATTTACTGATAATTCAATTTAATAATCAATACAAATAATCCATAATGGGTTATACTAAAAATAATAAGCATTTCGCTCCATGCAAAATTCTTTCGTAGTAGCAACTTAAGTAATATAAAACAAGTTTTAAAAAAAATCAGAATTAAAAAGATTTTAGTAAGATTAGAAAACAATGATTCATCCATTAGATTTATCGTTACTCAACAGCTTTTTGGATAACATAATTTAAGTCCTCAATCATATTTTAACCTCTACTGTAGAAATTTGAATAGAAATTATGGTGTCTCAAACTACGAACACTTAATTCGACAGTAAGTGATTTTTCTAGAGCATTTTGAGGTAATTTATGCTTGCAATTAACACTCGGGGACTTCTTGAAAATTTTAAGATTTTCTATAATTTAATTCTCATTGACAAATCATGACAGCGAGTAACTTAGAAGACTATGAATTTGGTCTAGAGGTTTGGTTGGGTCCATATGATTATGGCAAAGCAAGGGCTATTTATTTGCCTGACAGGAGGAATGCCCCTTTAGAGAACTTTCTAAGAGAGACTGGCTAATATTCATATCATACATGGGGAAAACCCTAAAATGCCCCTACAGATGGTCTGTTCACGTGGAATCAAACCAAGGTCGAACTTCCAGTGTTCAGCAACTTTACTACTCAGCCACTGATGGGTCTTAGACTGGAGGAAATTATGGCTAGATTGCACTGCAGACACAGACTTTGAAAGCTTTGACACTTAGGATGTTTTTATGATACAATATTTTAACTGCACTTAACGCTGTTTCTTCTCCTTTGTACGGGTATGGTAAAATTAAATTTTGGCTATATTATCTGCTGAATACTTTTTTTTTTGTCTTAGATTTAATGATTTTTATTGGTTTTGAGTTATGAACTTGCACATAAAGTACTGTTTTAAAGTTTAAAAAAGTAACCATCACCCCAAAAATGAATTAATCCATTTTATATGTATTCCTATGGCAAAAATAAGTAATCCATTTTATATTTATTCCTATGGCAAAAATAAGTAATCCATTTTATATTTATTCCTATGGCAAAAATAAGTTTCAGTTATGAACTTTTCAGATGACAAACAAGTTCATTAACCTATATTTCACTATTAAATCTAATTTAAAAAATTTGATGTAGATACAACTTTTTTGTATGGCTTATTAAATAATGCATATTTTTTGTTGCATTTTATTTAAACTTATTTCCTTGAATTTCCTTTCCTTAATTACCCAATCCCTCAAGGCAAATTGAAAATGACATCAAAGATTGCAAATTTTGGAATTAAATAACCCGGTCATTTTTTGTCACACAGAGGTCAAATTCCTTGTATCTCCATTTTTTATAAACAGCATAAAATTTTCCAAAATATTAGCATAGGAAATGAGAGAACATATTAAAAATTTGATTCTATTATTTGCTCAAAATTATTATTATCTTTTTTTTTATTTTACATTGTAAAAAACATGAACATTTTGTCATTTAAAACAGCCTGTAACTCAAAGTATATGACTACGATCAAAGATTGTGAAAATAAAGGCTGTGTAAGGACTTCTAAGAGGAATAAGGGGGGATGGGTATATGTATGTATTTTTGGACTTTTGGCCCTGCTGATTGCAATAAAAAAGGGAAGATGTAAAACTAGATGTTATAGGAGTCCAATATACAAAATTTCAAAGTTTTTTTGGCTAATCGTTTTTGAGTTATGTGAGCTGTATAGATGCATACATACATATATGATGAAAAAATCCACTTGACACTCTGATTTGCAATAAAGAGTCTTCTATTCTGTCTGTGCATACAGACGCTATTCAAAAAAGTAGTCATCGATATTTCTATTGAAATCTAATAACCGTTTTTTTTGTTTTTGTTTGTTTGTTTTTGTTTGTTTTTGTGATAACAATCAGGGTTTGTACACATTTCTGAACATGGAAATTAAATACGTTTAAGGACTTCTAAGGAACATTAATGAAAAAAATTAAAGCAAATAGAAAATGAATAAACTAAAACAATTATCTACATTCGAACTTCAGTGTTTTGTAACACCGCTTTTGTAATTTACAGGAATAAAATAAATCTAAGTAAGATGCACTATTATTAAACATAATCTAATATTTAATTATAAAACTAATCCAAGAATAAAATTAACAATTTTTCAAGTAATTAGCATTAAATCACAGAATTTCTTGAAACATTTAACATTTTACGCTTATAATAGTCCCACATATTTTAAAGAAGATCAGTGGTTCTTTATTTAAATTTTACTAATAGTTAGCTTTATATTGATTCTTTCTTTTATGCCTCATTTTGTCCCATACTCACTCAGTCCAGAGTTTCATGCAAATTTTATGTCAAGTGGGATATCCACAATAAAGATTAAAGAAAGGCAATAACTCATTTTAACATAGATAACTTTTAAGGGTGAACAGTTAGTTACAAATAATTAAATTGTGTAGTTAATCAATAGATTATATAGTTACAATTTTTTATACCTAAAAAATATCCACTAAAAAATAACTCAGAACATTTTACAGCAGTTATAATGTCACAATAACAGATAACAAAATGTTTATACATCTTTTTAATTTGAAAAATTTCCAAATTTTATCTAATTTTAATTATTTTGTAATTCTCTTCTTTTTACCATATTTTCGAAGTTTATTTGTTGCAATAAACAAATCAATGTTCTCACTAGCTTTTGCTTCATCTCCTAATTTATAAATGTTTCAACAATGTACCTTTGAAGAATAATTTTCTCTCTCTCTTTATAAAATCAACTTTTTTCTTTGATGAGTTTCCTATTCATTTCAAAATTTTCAGAGTGAATTAAAGATTTCTGTTATTCTACAGAACTCATTGTACTTGAATGTATAGAAGAAGCTGCTGATTTTATTTCTTTAGTAATATGAGTATTGAGAATAAATATGAAATAATATGCTGAAGCTAGAGCCAGTGTGAGAAAATTTTTAGAATTTAGTGAAATATGGAGCAACAAAACTTAGGGATAGCAAAATTTTTAGAATTAAGACCTGGCATTCAGACACATATCATAAATAAACTGTCAGTTTTCCATTTCTTTACTTTCTTTGATTGCTTCAGTGTTTTTGTCGAGAGAAAAATTAAGGGAAGATAAATATTTCAAGAAAAAGACTTCTAGGATCAAATTGAGAAAATTCAAATAGTTTTGATTTCAAGTTTTTCCAAAAATTCTTCAAAAAATAAGAAATTCATCGCAAATTTCCTATAAAACACACCTATTACATGTTAACACCACATAGATACTTTTCATTTTGTCACATTTTTATGGAAATTGTAGATCTCAAACCTTGCCTTCAAATCCTTCTAAACCTTCCAACGTGCAAAGTCTAAAATTCAAAGGAAAAATTATCCCAAGCAACACTGCAAGAGCAAAAAGCCAGAAGATTTTTGAAAAAAAAAAAAAAAACAGAAAGGAACAGTACAAAGCGAATTTTCAAGGAAATACCAATACACATTTAAATATTCTGAAAAATTACATGGGAAAATACTCTTACCAATATATATATAAGGCAAAAATAAGGACTTTTTGAAATTTGGGCAAAATTAAGAACTTTTAAGGACCAAATATCATTTCCCAAAAACCTAAGGAGTTTTAAGGACCATACGAACCTTGACAATACTTCCTTTACTTTGTAAAAGGAAGTAAAAAGTCTGTTTACTAAGAAATATCATTTAACTTCCTTTTAAGTAAAAATATTGCAAAAAATGGAGTATATAAAATTAAATGCAGTAGTCATCTAGTTTTTTCCTTCTTTATTGCTATCAAAATTAAATGCCAAATTTTACTTGTCAACTAAAAAAGTTTGGATATTTTTGAAGATAGTATCACAAATTTTTGTACTCATCTGTCATCTGTTACCAGGACCAGATTTAGAAATGTATATGTGTATGTGTGTATGTATCAATGTATTTATTTATGTATGCACATACATATATATGTATTTATGTGTATACACACACATGCGTAAATTCTTGTGCATACATTTCTGAATCTGGTCCTGATAACAAAAGAGTATCCAAATTTCTACCATTTTTTAATAAATCCAAACCACATATGAAACAAGCGCTTTTTAGAAAACATTCTATACATTCCAGAGATTAATTATTCCAAGCCTTGCAATATTTAATCAGACATTTTACTGCACATATACAAAATAAGTAAAATTTACATGAAATCTTCTTTGGCAGAAACTTGAAGTAAATTATAGTAAATTTTAACACACAAAGAAAAAAGAAAGAAAGAAAGAAACTAGAATTAAAAAAGTACATTGATAAATTCAAATACTTACAAACTACAGTAAAAATTACCCCTTGTTTAATACAAAATCAATAGGAAAAATATTAAATATGAGCATGCAAAAACAAATTTTGTTTGATTTCTTTTTTCTGAACTATGCATACCATAAGATGATAACGATAGGGATAGATTTCTCTTGTGAAGAACATTTGCTGCACAGGCAAACAGAAAAGCTGTAGTGATTAATACAACAACTGCAGTAACAGCTACAGCTATGAGGTTCCTAGAAAAAAAAAATAGATAGATATATCATTAAATAAAAAGCGTCATTTTTCTAGTATTCATTTTAGTAAAAAGTAATATAAGAATTAACATTTTTGTTCCCTTCAGTGGCTGGATACTTCTGGTTTAGCATTTATTTAATACTATAGCTAATCCTAGGTCATTTAGCTGTCTCATCACCATGGAAATTTTATTCTTTGGAATCACCATGGAATAATATTCTTTTACTTATATCAGCACTTATGCATGTAATAATTGATAATTAATTGCATTTTCTTAAATATACATAATGGATTCCAAACAGAATATTTTGCATTAGAATTTTGAATCAATCTTAAAATAAATAAAAACTTTTAAAAACAACTGATTATAACCAATAACATTATAAAAGATACTCTTACTTTGTAATATTTGTAGATGTTTTATTATGACTACAAATATGAAGGGCAATTGTTCCAAAAAGACCCCACGTTATGAATGCTTCTCTTGCTGCAAGCCACCAAGCCTAGAAATACAATATATTTCCATAACTAAAATAATTTACAGACACACAATACTTTTGATATTCAAGTTAATACACAGAATTGAATTTGTCATCAAAACATGATATTAAATTTATATTTGGTAAAAATCACAAATAAACTTTTTAATTAATCAGAACTTTTCCATATACTTTGATATCTTTCTTTAAATTTTAAGTATATATATATATATTAAATATTCAAATAGAATATTTAAATCAGTATATGATACAATAAATTATTTCAATACTGCAGTTATACATATAATTTGATAAATCACAGCATTTTAATTTACAAATTTTTATAGTGTATTAAATTTTATAAGGAAATAAAACGAAGAAACTATTAATAAAGAGAAGCATTCTTAAGAAGAGTACACATGATAAATTTTTAGAAAATGAAAATGTACACAATATATTTATATATATATACAAACGGTAGAATATTTATATTTAAGATGATATTGCCATTCAGTTTTTCGAAAAGAGGAAAAGCATTTCTTTTTTGAAGTTAGTAAGGTCGTTTTGCTAAAGATTATAACATTTTTTTTAAAAAAGTAAATATTGATAAAGAAAATATTTATATGCAGCCTGAATTACTTTATGCTTACAGAGGAATCTAGAAGAGTAGGTTTCCATGAAGAAGTAAACAGATCCAGAATACCATCACTCCACTGCTGTCCCATCCGCATTGTTACCATCATTAGCAAAGCAATAGGCAACATACCAAATACATACACCACCTAAAAAATGCATCTTTAAGAAACAGCTCAAAGATATTTTTATACATAATTACAGACAGAGAATTTTTTTTTAAATATGCAGAGGTATACTCAACAGTTTTACAAGGAACATGTAAAATATACGTGGGAGGTGAATCCTGGCAGACAAATCCATAACAATGGTCCTGTATTTAATAAAACTTCCTTTAAAAGTGAAGTTTTAGCTAAACTATATGGTATTCCTCCCACCTTCTTGGCATGCCTTCGTGGTGTAGTAGTTCTGCCTGCTGGGCCTATATTCCAGAGGTCCGCGGTTCGATTCCCGGGGAAGGCTGCTCATTTTTCATCTCTCCGGCTTTTTCCAATTTACCTAATGTCTCTACAATACCTAGTTCAGAAACATAAACCATTCTGTGCAGCTGTATGCCAAATATATAAGCAGTTTTATGCCATACATAATTGCAAAATATTTTTAATTTAGTGGAACTTTTATTTAGTGCAACTTTAAAATTTAACTCATCACTCCAATTTTTCACCAATTATTAGTTATGTTTGATCTGAGATTTATAAAACCAAATGCCTCAAACATCACTCCACTCTGTACTATTTATATTCCTTATATTCCACATGCACAAAGTATGATATGTTATAAATATTACATTGTTGGCAAACTGCTTCAAAAATTGTGGAAACAATAGAGGTACAGGCAATTCATTCATTAGGTATATTGCATTCCATGAAACCTTCCTATCCATCTCATCAGTCCAAACCAAATGGTCATGGCTGAAGAAAAATATATTGCTGATTTTCACTTTACAGTTTACTTTTTTAAACACTTCTGAATAGCCATTTCTACATGAATCTGCAGGTACTGTACACTTTTTTCCAAACTTCCTTTAAACTGGGGGGGGGACCCTCTGTTTTCTTAAAATAAAAATGAATATTAAAATCTGCTATAGAATCTGGTATATGTCATGTTAATGCATCTACGTGACTTCAAATTTTTCGAAGTCAGTATCAACATCTATGCAATTAACTTTTCTACGACAAGATATTATGTCTGCCTTTCTATCAGTGAAATGTTACCCATCTGAAATTACAAGTCTTAAATTATTAATCATGATGAGTGCATAATTGTTTCAGACAGCTATTCGGAATTTATTAATCTGCTATGTACAATGCATACAAATTTTGTTTTGTGCTGTTGATGAATATATACCCACTGTCGAAAATTCTAATATTTTGTATCACAGTTCTGCTGCAAGTGCTTATTTTATACACACACACATATATATATATATATAAGATACATATATACTTTTATTTTCTTCCTATGCAATTCTATTCTTTTGTCATTCTCTCTACAAAAAAGCATTAAATATGTCTTTTAACTTTTTTGAAAGCAAGATATTAGAATTCTTGCATTCAAAATCTTCTAAATCCAGAAGCATTCAGTATCTCCTAAATCCAGTATGAAGCAGAATATATCTGATTTCTTATTTGCTGCTGATTTTTTTTTTCTATGAAACATATCTTCAATAAGATTAGGTCCTTTAAATTTCAATTTTTTTTTTTTTTTTTCAGTTTAAGTCAAATGCAGTTCAAAATATAAAAATGTACATGCATATGAAATATTAATAACTGTTATAATTATTGTTTGTTCCTTTTTTTTATGCCTATTTTTAGTCATACAATATTACATCTATATTTAATGGGGGAATTTGTGGTTAACAGAGCACCACTAAGAAGCAATTGCCAACATAAAATCTAAAAGACTGGGTTTTTTTTAATTAAAAATAAATTTAAAATAATAATATATTAAAGGTAATAAACTTGTAGATAATAAATTATTATTTTTAAAATAAATACTTTTAAAAAAGTAGTACTCTATAGATAAAGGCACGTGTAATTATACCTATCAACAGCTGCAGCTGACACAATTCTACCAAAATGAGTTCTTGATACAAAAACTAAGTAAACAGCGATCAGAAAAGGAATCTGCTCACTTTCCAAACAGCATCCACTTTGCAACCCTTCTTTGCATAACATGATCTTTTGTTGCAAGGACATTCAGAGCTCTAGTAATAGTAAAATGTAATTTTACTTTATCACTCTCTGAACAAAGTCTTTTGTTACGAGTGATACCTTTGTTTTGGAAGAATTTAATCCTGAATTTTCATTTTAATTTAATTGTGTACAATTATCTTAATTGAAATTTTAATAGTGACTTTTCATCAATTTCTAAATCACATAATCCATACTGATTTTTTCTTAACCTTTTGAGGCCAGGGCTTTGGTAGCAGTAAAAGCTACCAAAGGATGGGGAATCTTGAACCGAATGATTTCCCTCCTTTAAGAAATCACCTCCTATTTGCAACAAAGATTCTCGTGTGTAGTTTAATGGATTCTCAGAGGGGTGTATCTATGTTGTAAAAGAAAGACCTTTGAAAGAGATAAGTGGTTAGAATCCTAGGGACGTCAAATTTGACATTTCACCCCACTTTTCAGCCTGGAAAATGGGGGAAAAAGACATGGCCACTAAAGTGGACAACCCCGTCTTTTAAAATGGACAACTCTATGGCCACTATAATGGCCATCCCATCTTCAAAAGGTTAAACAAAATTGGATGCAGACACCACATGACTTCCATATACAGTCTATTAACCACTTTAATATTCTACAGCTAATAATTTTTTAGTTATACGAGACACATACATATGTACAGGTATTATGAAAAAAATCCCTTTTGAAATCATTTTAAATTCATTTCACAACCCATTTTGGAAAAAAGAGTTTGTCGTTCTGTCCATATGTATAGATGTCTCAGAAAAAAATCATCTACATGGATTGACGTATGACCAAAATGGATATTTCTGTTAAAAAACGCCACCTCTTCAGGATTTGTATGAAACAATATGATACCCAAAATCTTCACCATTGCAAAACTTCCTTTACTTTGTACAAGGAAGTAAAGAGAGAAAAAGACAGCGCCTTATTACCTGAAAAATATCTTTCTAAGTAATAGAAAAATTGAATGTTATTGATAAAAAAAAAATTCTGTGTGGCAGAAAATGAAAAATAAGAAAGAAAATGAACTAATATAAACAAGGTTAAACATTTTAGTTCAAATTAAATATATTTGTAATGTAATAATAAACAAACTATTTTTAATTTAGTGCCTGATTTTAAAAACTTTTCAATAAACTGACATTACAATATTATAGTATAACTAATAATATAATTATGAATAATATACTTTCAGGTACTTTTCTGATATTAGTACTGGATTCAGAAATGTACATATATGGCAGTCATAAAAACAAATTCCTCAATAAATGAACCTTTAGCGGTCTAGTCACTCAACTAATTGAAATGAAATTTCAGATATTGTTGTTTGAAGGTATGCACTCAACATTGTTACACATTAAAACAATACAGCTCTCACAGTTACAGCGGAAAAATTTCAAAGTTTTCAAATAGCAACACCCACTTCTGTCATGCACAAATTGACCATCATACTGAAAAAATGTAAATGGCATTGGAACAATACACGTCTGATGAAAACTGCCAGCACAAAACATTTGCAAAGAAGAGTACTGTAAAGGGAAGATGAAGCACACTGCTTCATAACTGGGAAATTAAACTCTAAAAACTGCATGAAAATCCTTACACTGTGGCACCAATGCCTTTACATGAAGTTAAAGTGACTGGGTGGTGTGGCATCACAAGTACATTAATACTTAATCCATACTTCTTGGAAGAGTTCACTTCCACAGGTGTGGAAACATGCTCCATCACAAGTGCTTGGTACTCAACAATGCTGCAAAATTACATAATTATAGAATTGAAGCAGCAAAATGTTGTTAATGGTATTGTAAGGATGCTAGATGGTGTTCCTTTACAGGTACCCACATATGCTTGTAAGTGCTGCATCAGCACTTTGGAGATAGAGTCATCTTCCATTACTTTGCAGTTTCGTAGCCACAGTGATCCTCCGACCTCCCACCGATGGCTTTCTGGTTCTGGGTTTATCTGAAATCTAGTTTACATTAAATCCATAAGATTTGCCAGAATTGAAAGATGCCATAAAATGTGTAGTCACACAGATTCCTCCTGCTATGCTGCCATTGTTATTGACAATCTCCTGCATGCAATGTGTTATTATCTATGAAGGTGGACATGTTGAAAACTTTTTTGTTTTGTCTTGGTCCTGTACAATGCTCTTCTTAACAAATGTTTTACGTTGGCAATTTTCATCATACATGTATCTAGTGGTGTTTATGGTTTCTCAATGCACTGATCAATTTGAGGGGGAGGAAGGGTAGATGTTGCCATTTGAAATTTAGAAATTTTTTTCACTGTAACCATGACCATTAGAGTTCTATTATTTTAATCATCACAATCTTAAGGGCATACCTTTAAACAATATCTGAAAATTCATTTTTGATATGTTTGTTGAGCGAATAGAGGTTCTTTATGACCTCTTATGTATGGTTCTTTATTTTATGTTCTTTCATGACCACCTTGTATGTATGTACATATTCACGTATGTATGTATCATGTATGTATATACATAAATGCATACAGACATATATGTGCATTTCTAAATCTGGTCCCGATAACAGCAAAGCACTGATTTTTATCCAAGAAATCAAATCATAAGTATATTAGAATAATTACTTAACTTACTTTTCCAAATGTTTTTGGTCCACGTATTATGCAGATGAAAACAATTAGCCATACAATGCATAAATTAAAAGCTACTTCAAATTTTAGTTCCCCTAATTGGAATTCACCAGGTTTTCTTCCAAGAACACGACCACTAAAAAAATTGATTAATGTTTTTATTGGTTTTTAAATATAAACCGAAATACAGATAAGTTGGCAATTTAATTACAATATAAACAGTTAAAAAGTATAATATAAATCACTTACTGAAAATATGATGGCACAGACCAGCCGTAAAAATCAGCTGATGATGAATTTAAAGCTCGTATGCAACCTGAAACATAGGCAAAAACTCAACTTCATATCAATCCAAAAGTTAATGATGCAATAATTAATATCTGTGTGCTTAATTAATATCTATATATTAAATACATGCTTAATACAATTTTATGGCATATAAAAGCTATCAAAATAATTCAGAGAAAAGAAAGAAACCAGTATATTTTTTTAAATGTTTCAGTATGTAAAATTTTTTTATTTTTGTTTCAAAACGGCAGATAAATTTCTAGGAACGATACCTATAATTATATACTTAGAGCAGTTTATTACACTGTATGAATTATGCAGTATCTCAGAATTTTTTAGTATGAAAATAGGTTTATTTCTAGATTAATTTGGTATTTATCAGTTATACCAGGTCACATAATCTTCAGGATATTGAGGCAAAATGTTTTCTGACAATAAAATATCTCCAATGACGTTTTGGTAGCCCTTATCCATAAGTGCATCGATTTTTTTTTTTTTTTTTTTTTTTTTTTTTTTTTTTTTTTTTTTTTTTTTTTTTTTTAACAATCAGTAAATATTATTGGGTTGTCGATCATTAACCTCCATTAAAGTTATTGCAGTTCTGTTTTCAACTATTTTCAAAATACCTTCACATGTACCTCAAAAAATTCCATTGTTCATTTCAGAATACTTTCTCCATTTTATTTTACAGCTACATGCAGTAGCAAAAAACACACACATTTTTATATATGTTTTCTTTTGCATAGCATACATTTTTCAAGTTTTCTGAATTTCTTTGTTGTTTATTTTCACCTTTGGTTTTTACTTCTGATATTTTATTTCCTTGCACTAACAAATAATCACCAAGAATATGTAGCTTGCTATAACCAACAAGTACCTAAATTTAATTTGCAATTTTGATAAAATAATTAAAATTAGAGTTTTTTAAAAAAAACTTAGATTGGTGTAGATTAATAATTTTCTATATGGCCTTGCCATATCTAGTGACATGAAAAAAACTTTCCTGAGAAATGCATTTCTTTCAGCAGTAGATTAAATGGGAGATTTCTAGTTGCAACTGTCACATTCAGCAATCTGCTTCAAGTACATAGACACATTTTATGGTACATGAGAAAAAAACTATGCTGACAACTCTGCTTCACATAGGACAAACGTTCTACTTTAATATATTATTCTTTAGAGTCGTCTTCCTTTATACTCTTTAGAGAAGCATTTTCTCAGAAAAGTTTCATATTAAATTTCATGTCAATACATCAGATAGGGAATTTAAGTAGAAGGATGTATGTCTGGTTGCTTTCAAAATTGATAAAAGCTCCATTATAAAATCTGCTTTTCTGCATAATTTTGAATTCTATATAGGCACAGTTTCCTTCTGACTGCAATCTCTTCAGCTAGTTTATCATCATACTAACATTATGGTTTTCAAAAGTTATAATAAAGCATTTCCTCTGTTTCATGATTAAAACAGTCCTTCAAGTTGAAAAAAGAAATGTTTTAGTTGCACAGGTACATTTTTTTTTTAAACCGCTTCTGTATTACCATTGATTTGACACTATTTTTAAAATATCACAATAACCGACTTCTAGTATTTAGCTTTATGGATTTTTAGAAAGACAAGTTTACATTAAAGTGATATTTTTCAACATACATTGGAGTCCAAAGGTATATTTACATACAGATAGACTATTGAAATCTGATTTATTTTTTTTAATGAATGAATAAAGGATACACCTAATTACCATCACAAAAGCTTGATTAAGCTTGATTAATCTGCCAAAAAAATACAAACAACTGCATAAAGCTTCCCAAATGCATGAAACAGTGTTTCTATACAGAAGTTGCCAATTTTAGGAGTTCAAGGTATAATTTCAATATTTATTGAGTTAAAACTATTTTCATGGCATTTAATATCATCTGAAAAAGTTTTTGAGCTGAAGCATTTGAAAACATGGCAGATTACATGCAAAATGGCTGAATGTTTTGAGACAACAGTCTCTAACCTCTGAAAATAGTTGAAAAACTCTAGAGTGGAAAACCTGCAGAAGATCTAGACAAAAAAGTTTCTGAAGTTCAAATGTTCATTTTCTGCCTGTAACTGCCTAACAAAACAGGAACATGATTGAAGAAAAGCCAAATTTCAAGCTTACAGCTAGCACTAAAATTTGCAGTACACTGTAAACAGAAGACTTAAAGAGAAAAAAATTGTACAGAAGGAAGCAAACAGTATGTCACTGAGTCTTCACTGATGTCACAACAAAAAAATTGTCTATCTGAATTGGTCAGAGAACATCAAGGCGAAAATCCACAGGAATGGGCCTGTAACAATAATTAATGAAGATCTGATTTTCAGTTTTAACCCCAGATTCTAAAAGCAGTTAAATCTAGAGAGAGCTAAGAACTGAAAATAATAATTCCACCATACATTAAAGATACTAACAATGAGAAAATTATTTCACAGATGTTTAATTTTCGTGTAGTTTTTATTCCTACCATAAATTTCAGAGTTCAATACTTAAAGACACCATTTTGAAAATACAGGGGTATGCTACAGCATTTCCTGCCAGTATGGCTAAATGGACCGGGTGACCTAAAAGTCTGCTAACATTTGAAAATCCAATAATTCATTGAATAATGTAGGTAAAGAGGTAAAAACTGACACATGCTTGAAATGAAAGACAAAAAAGTGCTTAAAAGGCCAACATACTGCACTTCACATGATAACAAAAGCAATAATTAGCATAACAACTGATTTTTAGCAAAGACTGTTCTTTATAACAAATGTTCAACATGTTGGCCATCATTCATCGACAATACCTGTAATCAAGGGACAACACTGTGAACAGCACTGTGCAGCATATCTGTAGGTATAGGAAGAAACTGCTGTCAGATATTGTCCTTTAGCATCCCTAATGAGGTCGGGTGATTGCAGTAGACTTGCGACTGTAGGTAATCTCAAACCAATAATCACATAGATTGAGATCTGGGGACCTAAGAGGACAAGCATGAGGAAAGTGGCAGCTCAGCATGTGATCTTCACCAGATGATGTGTGTAAGAGATCTTTCACATGTGTAGCAATACAGGGTGGAGTGTCATCCTGCATAAAAGCCATACCTTCCAACAGGTGTTTATCAACCAGTCTAAGATGATGCAATGCTGTAACATATCAGCATATTTCGCACCTGTCACACTGACAGTTTGAATAGCAGAACCATGCATTTCCTTGAAGAAAAAGGGTCCTATCATAACTGATGTGATAAACCCACATCACACCACAACCCAGAGGGGAGGACAGAAATGCGACACAAAGTTATGAAGGGACTGATTCTGTCTCTCACTACAGCTCATTTCATACACGATTCTCATGCAGCATCACTAACTATTTGCTGCCCAGTACTATATGTTGACCTTTCAATGAAACCTTATGCCATTTCGAGCCTATGTGTCAATTTTTACTATTCTGTGAATTAAAAAAATAGTTTTCAGGGAGGCCTTTGAATATCATACATGCCATTCAAATGATTAATTTATTTCTTTCCAAGAACTTACATATAGGTACCCTGAAATTTAATGCTTAAAGCTAAGAGTTTATTTTTGATGCTGCATTTTACATTTTAAAGGACACAACATTCATATTTATTCAAATTTTAACGTGTCAATGAAGAAAATTACTTACCACTCCTAGCAAAATTATAATGACATTTTCCCCACTTGTATGAGTCTTTGAGAGTGATGAAAGAATCCTTGAAATAGGTAAATAACCATGATAAAGGTATGGCATTATAAATCCCTAGCAGCACATAGAGATATAACATAGCAAAACCCAGACCTGATAAAATAAAGTAAAAATATTTTTTTTTAAATACTGAAATGAATATACTAGTATATGTACATTTAAAATACATAAAAAAATTGACACCAAATATATGAGGTGATTTACTGTGGAAGAGGATAAGAGACAGCAGAGTCTTAAACCTATGGTGGAAAACTGCGTAGGCTCAAAATTAACAGAACTGAATTGAAAATATGAGATACTCCATACAGCACAATATATATATACACCTAAATATTTTTATAACTGTTAAATTAGTAAATTTAATGCTCTCAAATATTTTTATGATGTTTAGTGATTCTGGACAGAACATGGGAAATTAATCAAAATTATTCCCCATAGTAAACTACAGGAAACAGCTTCTCACAAAATAAACACCACTGCAGAACGAATTGCATTCATTATACAAGACACTGTTTTACTAATTATGAAAATATGTGAAACATAAAATAAACCAAATTAAAAGAATATTACATACAAATGCATAAAAAAATAAACTTCGAATTAAAATCATAATATCCAAACCATTATTAATGATTACTACAGCTGTAATCAATGCAATTTTAGAACACTTTGCTTACACTTTCTTAATACTAAATTGGTAACATTTTCTGAGACTTTTTTATAATGATAGCTATTTGAACTAAATGTAAATTTTAAAATGACTTCAGGTTGCTATATTAAATATGGAATGCACTAGCTATTAAGAACCTTAAAATCAAGGTTTCAGTGCCATGATAAAAGTATTTTGATAATACAGATCCAAAATATGAAAATAAACCAAAAGAACATGATTTTTTGGGGGGGGCAGGGAATGTCAGACAAAACATCTCCATCATGTTTAAACACTTTTTGTCATGTTTTTTTAAATGCTAATTTAAATGTAAAAATAAAGATGACTTTAAAAGAGAGAAAGATTTATGAAAGAACATAAAGTAAAAATGCCAGCTACAGTAGACCCACAGGTAGACCTAAAATAGCTTAGAAAACAAATGGGCAAAGAAGACAACATGAAAGTTGGATGGAAAATGGACAATATAGGAAAGTACCACAAGGGTGCAAAGGGTGGAAGGTAAGATGTTTTCTCAATTAAAATTCTAAAATGAAGTCTCACAGACTCTTATTAAAATCTGTATGGTATTCAAAATCCACTGACATTACAGTTTTTTGCATATATATCTGCAATAAATTGATCTCATACTGCAACGTAATCACTGCAAATAGTTTTGTTTATCTTTAGTCTAATTATCTTCACTGAAAGATCAAATGCAGAATATTTTTAATGTATTTAAATTTTATCGCAAAATAATCTTTCATCCTGGAATAGCCAATCTGATTGTTAATTTTTTTTAATGCTTAAACATAATACACACTTTTATTAGTTAAATGCTCAGTACTTTTATTAGTAGTAGTTAGTACTTTTATAAGTAAACTTTATTCTTTATAAAAGAGCATTTGTTTTAATTCATATTTAAAACAAAAAGCGGTAAAATTATATAGTATATTTATGGGTACCCCTTGGCGAAAATTGGCAATTTTTGGTGTTACATGGATACCGAGATTGCGCATTTCTTTGACTTGTTATTTTGGCTTTGTGTAGAAGCGATTTTTAACACCAAAAATCGCCACTACACAAAGACAAAATAAGCAGTCAAAGAATTCCCCAAACTCGGTAGCCATATACACAATGACCTAGTTTTGCTTAAACAAATCCAAGAATTGCACAAACTAAGCATTACACACTCTCCTGACTTTATCCATGTACGTGTATGTACGTGTCAACAACCTATTTTCACTTAAAAAAATCTGATGTGGACACCACATGACTTCCTTGTACGGAATATTAAATTATACGCATTTTTTTCTTGAATTTCATTTAAATTGATTGGATTGAATTAAATCTACTTCGTCAACAGTGCATAAACCACAATAGAATAAATGAACTCTTTAAAAATTCACTATATTTGTTTATTATAACGACACTCTGAATGCACAAAATTTATATCATTTGAAGAATTATCTTATCGTTGCCACTTGTTTTATTCAAATACTATAATAAAGCTAGAACGATGTATGAAAGAAATTAAGGAAACAAAACAGAAAAGAAACAGTTTTTCACAGACGATTGAGTATTTCTCATTCAATTAATTAAGTTTTCACTTTGCGACAAGACAAAAATACATAAAAGCTCAAAATATTTGTATTAAAAATTACTAATTATTAAAAATTAAATTACTAATTATTAAAAATTAAGTAAGTCTTAAACACTTATTTCCTCAAAAAAATTCCAGAAAGGGATTAAGCATGATTTAATTCGCAATAATAAATGAAGGCGTTATTTTTGTTGTTGCGAAGGTTAGTCTCTCCAGATTGGTAACAGGGCGTCGTGCAAACAGACCACCACCGTGCAGTCTTCTGGCCACGGTAAAACGCGATATCTGTCGTCCAGTCACCTGCGTCGTGTGTCTAGCGATTTCTTCCGCTGTCTGCCCCCTGTTTCTTCTGGCCTGTAAGGCAATATATCGGTCATCTGCGGGTGTGGTTCCTCGTGGACGACCACTACTAAATCCCCGGATAGCTGTTCCTGTAGTTTGAAATTGTCTCCAAAGTCGTGAAACGATGCTGTGAGAATTTCCGACTCTGCAGCCACAGCTGTCACACTGCGGCCTTCCTCCAACTTCCCAAAGATTCGACCTTGGGTAAAAGCACCCAGATGTCGTCTAACAGATTGATTATTCGCCATTTCTCGCTGAGGCAGCAACTCGGTGTGATTTTAACTGCTATACGGCGTGCAATCTCTTTGCCAGAAATACTGATCTTACACCGACAACATGCTTTATACTACTCAGACACTCCCCCATTACGTCTACCTGCATATCTGCGCATGTGCTACCGTACATCACCTTACTTAATCTCCTGATTGGTCTTTCTGTTCGCTCTGCCTCTTCGTTCAGCTGATATGCTAATTTTTTGACTTCGTCCTTAATTTTTGCACACCAGTGTATATATATATATATCTAATCCATGAGTAGACTTATGTTGCTTTAATGAAGAAACATTTGTACAGAAATAACACAAGGGAAAATGAAAATTTTTAAGGAAATTAAATTGGTAAAAGTTATCACTTTTATAATGAATATTTTATATGGCTACTTACTTTTTATACAAAACAATTTTTTGCAGATAATTAAAGAAAGTGAATTAAAAACATTTTTATTTTTAATAAAGTTAAATCCATAGGGAATATACACAACTTAGTTTGCTTATTTAAACACGGCAAATCACATGAGGGCTATCTTCTTAAAAGAAAAAAATGACTTCATGGAGAATTTTTAAAAGGAACTTCATTCGGATGCACATTAGAAGAAAACGTCAAAAAAACTTACATGCATAATTTAACAGCTTATCTATTTAATAATCTTTATAGCAAAATTATACAGGATCACACTTGTCCTATAACTTATAATTGTTTCATCCACCATTATAAATTCCTTTTAAAAATGGTAAATATTTTTCAATAGAAGTAAATTTTAAAAAAATGTACGACATGTTTGAAATTGTACTATATTATTGACGTTACAGAAAAAAAATCTGATGTGTACACCACATGACTTCCTTGTACGGAATATTAAATTATACGCATTTTTTCTTGAATTTCATTTAAATTGATTGGATTGAATTAAATCTACTTCGTCGACAGCGCATAAACCACAATAGAATAAATGAACTTTAAAATTCACTATATTTGTTTACTATAATGACACTCTAAATGCACAAAATTTATATCATTTGAAGAATTATTGTTGCCACATGTTCTATTCAAATACTATAATAAAGCTAAAACTATGTATGAAAGAAATTAAGCAAATAAAACAGAAAAGAAACAGTTTTTCACAGACGATTTAGTATTTCTCATTCAAGTAATTCAGCTCTCACTTCGTGACAAGGCAAAAATACATAAAAACTCAAAATATCTGTATTAAAAATTACGAAGTAAATCTTAAACACTTATTTCCTCGAAAAAATTCCAGAAAGGATTAAGCATGATTTAATTCGCAATAATAAATAAAGGCGTTATTTTTGTTGTTGCGAAGCTTAGTCTCTCTAGATTGGCAACAAATCTATTATTCTGCTGTTTCAAATGTAAACAAATATGTCCGCCATGTTATTTAAAACTTAACCGCACTTAAACAGCTTTTAAATTGTTGATAATTGTACAAATATTGCTTCCAGAATTAAGAAAGGCATAAAAACCTTAACCGGAAGATAAGAACAACATAATTCAATCATTTTTAAAGCAAAAAATGTACAATTTACAAACATATAAGAGTAAAGAAACTGAGATCACTGTGCTGGGTAACAGAGTGGATATACATATAAATATAGTTATATACGTTTGGTGCGGCCGATTGCAACCAAAATACGAGGTGCACATCTACATGTTATAGCAGTCCTATATACAAAATTTCATCGTTCTGAGGCTACTCGTTTTCGAGTTATGCAAGGTACGCACGGACGTACATATGTTCGTACAGACACCACGAAAAATTCTCTTCAGAATTAACTTTAAAGCAGTTTTATAATTTTTTTTGGAGGAAATGAGTATTTTATTCTGTCGTTACGTACAGATATCATGCAAAAACATCGTTAAATTGCATTCGATAGCGGTCAAAATGAATATTTTCTTTGAAATATGCTGCCTGAAACTTTTCGTGATTACAATACTTCCTTTTTACTTCGTACAAGGAAGTAAAAACATCAGAGAACTGCACAAACATTGCATCACTCACTCCCTTGATTTTGTCCATGTACACATTGATATAGTTTCACTTAAAAAGTCAAAGGAGCACCTAATTCTACAATAGAAGCAAACAAAAAATACATAATCTCAATAAACTATGTTTTAAACCAAACAATAAAATAAGATAAAAAAACGAAAAGCCTCTTATGCATTTAAGCACTACACAAAGCAAATATCCACTTACCTTATTTAGAAA